ATCACACCCTGCAGGCCAGGCGCGCGAGCAGGGAAAGTTCTCTCCTCGTCAATAGGGGATTTCAACGAAAATCGGAATTCTGAGAGAGCAGCAGCAGCCCCGGAAGGCGGCGAGAAAGGGAAAACGAAAGCTGCAGAGCACCCGAGGGAGTTCACCTATCGAGGCTTTCAATCGTGAACAGTCGTAAATGGTGGTTTGATAGTGCGGAAGACGAGAAGAACAAGACGACATAGAAGACGCAGACGACAGAGAGAATTTGGAGAGCAAGTTGTATGAGTACAATGTTTCCTCGTGTATTGTAGCACGGCGAGGGTAGAAGGCACATTCGTCCATTGAAAGGTTGATCAACGGGCGTAAGTAGGTGCTACCGGTCGCGGGAGGATGTGTTGTTGTTGGGGTATCTGGACGCGGATGCGAGGTTGAGATTGAGATTCGGCACGAGCGTTCTCGCGCACTTCTTGGAGCGAGGCAGCAATAGCTACAGCATTGGCGGCTGTAGCTTGCTCTCTCGCGCGACGGCGACGAGAAGTGCGTGGCGTGCGCTCGGGATAGACGCATTCCCTTCCGCGACGAAGGCAGTTTCTACCAGTTCATGTCAGCTATGGGGAATACTGAGGGAATTCTACTACGTACCCGCATGGCGCCCTCTTTTCAGGTGCAGAGCGTGGATAACCATCAGGAGACGCAGACCTGGAAGGAGCTGCAGTGCTCTCTTCAGTAGGCTCGGGGTGGCACGCAATCTACAAGGTATTCGTCAGAGTGTGTTTACTTTACAGGAAAACTTGGCATACCTTGCGTCCACGACAGAACAAGCATGCTACGACGTGTCGACGGTCACGAAGCTTCTGAATCCTCTCTTCGGGAGTGAGAGAGGCAAGCGAAGACGTGTTATTCTTGGTCGAGACTTTGAGGATTGGAACCGTTCCTTGAATTTGGGCGATTTGAGGAGTCGTGGGCTCGATAGGGCTGGAGATGGTCGAAGAAGGGTCTACCGAGGAAGGGATGAACTGTTCGGAGCGAGCAGTATTGTCTATAACGGGTGAGAC